ATTTTTACAGATGGTCTTCTGTGATCAAATTGGTGTCTCAATGTAAGGAGTGAAGTGATATAGTTATCTTTTTTCAGTTGTTTGCTTTTGCTTATTGATAGAGATAACTATTCCCTATTCAGTAGAGATGCTGTCCAATGAGAGAGTGTCCATGGCGATTTTATCCCGTCCACCCAGCAGTATGAAATGAGCACACACATATGTGTTCTATTCCATCCACCTAAGTTTATGAATCGATCTTTCTTCAAGATATTTATGGAATTTCACCGGTTTCTATGATTTAGTGTTGTGTTGTCAATGTCATCAGGCTCTGGATGATTAGCATTCCACCAACTATATTCCATATATATATGTATTCTTCAGTTCAACAAGGATGCTGATATGATGATTGAGGAAATGAAGCTTAGAGTTGTCTACACATTGCCCAGTGGAAGCTCAGACAACAATGGAGTTACATCTTTGGCATACAGGAGTTTCGGGAACTTCAGGCAGCGCACTATGATTTCTCGGTGAGATTGGCTAGCTTTATGTTCTATGTAGGAAACATATGTTTTGCTAATAAATTTGTAGAGCAAAGGCTAACTGTATCTGCACAAGAGTCGAACCTGAAGAAGTTGAGGGCCCATGCAGCGATTTCAGAACCTAGGGAAAACTAGACTGACTGGTCTTCAAGAAATAAAGGGCAACAGTAAAAGATTATCCATTTATATTGAATTAGGAACAATCTTCTAGCACACACATCTGGTTTGACATTTTGACATTTATATGGATAGAAACATGAGCAGACGCCTACGACCAGACGCCATCGCTTCACACGGTCGCCTTTCGGCCATAAGATTCACCGGCGGGGTACTTGGAGCAGGGAGCCACGGATAGAAACTGACACACCTTATATGCATTATGCGGAACAATCGGTACTACTTGTTTTAGGAGTATGGTTCAAAAATTTGGTACCGACAATGATTAGGTTCCAACGATTCAATAATCCTTATTTATATGCAGGATAAATTTAGTAGGAAAAGTAACCAACAGAATCTGGATACAATAAAATGGAAACAAATTACTTCTAGCCCGAACATTAAATTTCAGCATAATTCTTTTGTGTCATTATGTGTGTCTGGGTGTAGCATATGCAACTTTGAAGGTGACGCTGGCGAGGCATTACTATATCTTTCTAAGCTTCCACTCTGTGTTATTTTGTTTGTTCTGAAGATTCATAAATATTTCTATTTTCCGCTTCAGTATTCACTGAAAGGCTGGACTACGTTTACCTTTTGTTCTTTAAAATGGTAGTGTTGTAATTCGTTTCCCGACATTTTGTGCATCTTCTCGATTCTGGTGGATTGAACTCATATAAGCTAGCTTTGTAACATTTGGCTGCACGTATAAACTGATCTTAACACATCCGTTTGGACTTTTGATTTTATTTTGTCCTCGTAATTTGCAGATTCACATTTTCCCACCTTTTTGTTTGTTAGTAAAATACTTTAGAACTTATATACTAGCAATAGAATATTAGGACAAACTTTGGGTGGCACTAGGTGCAGCAAAAAATGGTGCCATGGCAGCGGAATTGGACTCACGCTACAGTTCCCACTTTTAAAGGTTCGGTTGACCTTTTCCATGTCATTTATCTTGTGATTGTAGCCTATTTCTTCTGTAAGTGATCAACATTAATACTTGGTTTTGTTACTCAAGGATGTTGGACACTGGTTAAGTATTACAGGCGGATTATGTTGGCTTAGTTTGCTACAATTTATACCCGTTAAGAGAATAGCGGATACAACTATAATATCTATGTAGTGCATTTTTTAGTAATGTAGAAGCTTCTAAATTATTGACTGTGAGTATCTCACACAAACTTATCTACTTTTTCTATGCTTTGTGATTCTATCGTGCCCTATCTTTAGAAGTCACTTTGATTCAGTTAATTCAATGCCCAGCAATATCATCAATTTAACAAGCAGTTACTCGAAATTCCATCGCCCCAAATGGCATAGGATACCTCGGGGTCCAACTTCTGGCATAAGTTTTTGTGCATTCAAAAATTTAGGAACCTGAACCACAAGGGCAAATGGAAGGCACCTTTGATCGGTAATCCAGGTAACCTCAGCTTCCCCACTACTATACATCCAGACTTCTGCCCGTTTATCTCTTCTGCTAAACTATAATATAGTGAAGCATCAAAGCTCATACGATTTTTTCCCTTGTTTGTGCAGAGTACATGGATGATTCTTACACCTATGCTTTTGATAGGCTGATGCACATTGTCGTTGAGCCAAGGTAGGTTAGTGCTTCACAAGGACCAGCTCTAAGCATGACTTGTGCAGATATGGGAAAGAAGCCTAGGTAGGCCTCCTTTCTGAAGAAAAAATATATATGTGAAAGAAGACTAGATGAAAAATCTTGGGGAAGACTTTGGTGAAGAAGAACAAGGTGAATTTTATCTGTTCAACAAAATCAAGTTTGTTCCTGCACTTTGATGTTATGAATCACTGTGTAGTAAGCAGGAGTGCTTCTCAATCAATATTTTATATGTTTGTTAGAAATTGAAAAAACAAATATCTATCTGGTAGTCTATAATGGGTTTTGAGGCTGGTTCATTGCTACACATATAGTGGAGAGCTTCCTAAAAATTGGAGGGGACTTGTTGTAGCCTTATAATGTATTATCTCGGGTATTACATTTCTCATTCCATTTGCCAACATTTTGAATGAGTTTAAATGTTAGCACTCTTAGACAATTGACAATGTTTATTCAAAAGATTATACTGCAGTTCTACGTGAGTTTCTCATCTTAATTCTTTAAATTTCAAATCAGATACAAGTGCAACAAAATATAGACATGACAAGCTACTGAGCTCTCACATTTGAATGCTAATGTTCCTTTGTAGACATGGGTTTATTACCATGGTGCTAGCATTAGGTTCAACCTTCTAAACTTTTTTTTTGCTTTTCTTTGTTATTTCGTGTCTTCTTGCGGTCTATTTTCTATTATATAAAAAGTAGTATTTTTCCATTTAGCTTCTTCATGGTCAACAGGATTCACTAATAGCATGGGCTGGAATTCGTATTGGCTTTGTACAGAGGAATAGCAGTTTCATATTTCTCATACTTGCTTTCCATGTTATTCTGTTGCTGGCTCATAGTTTCACCAATTTACAGTAGCAGGCTTCCAGCTATCTTATGGTTCTATATTTTGTGCATTATTTATATCTCATGCATAAGAAATTACGCTATACAGAAAGTTGACTTTCAAGAAACAATTATTCCACAACACTTTACATGGATTCTAAAATGAACATTGAATGTCAAGAAACATTTATTCCAGAAAGTTGCAGTTTGCTTAGGAAACATACAATTCTTGTTGTAAGTAATAGTACTACTGTAACAACTTTTTCGTATTTTTAATTTATATTGGGTGTTGTCATGGTAAGAGACACTTTTGTATTGTGCATATATTTCTTGCTATTTGTTTTCCATCTTGTTGAAGTTGGTAAAATATTTAGACGTCACCTACCCGAGTTTCTGAATGAATGTTGAAGTTTTGTTTGTTCATCTGATAATATGCTAGCCTAGCATCGAACATATTAAAAAATACCACTGAAATTAATGTATTGTGTAATCATGTACATATGTTTGCCTATTCTCTTGTTAGGTGGCATCAACTAAAGCAAGGCTTGGTTTATAAAATGGATGCAAAGCAATTAACATGTTGAATTTTACATGGGAGGAGGGGGTGCACTATATCCTCCATATGACTTTATTCACCAGTTGCTATGTATATTCCTGTTTCCTTTGGCAAGAAATGTATATTCACAGAACTCCTTAATTTGAAAACCATCATGTTGTTATATCTTGACACTTATGCTTGTGATATAATTCTTGTGTATTCTGAAGTTAAAACACACACAGTACAAACGCCGATGTTTACAAACAGGTACACACACTCATCCTTATGAACGCATGCATGCACACTCTACCCATATGAGCACCTCCAAGATACTGAGCCAGTTGGTCTTGAGATTATCGACAAAAACATCGCCCACATGACAATCGTCACTGTTTTCAAATGTATGTGACAATGAGAGAATATTAACGTGAGGTGTTTATTGAATTCATGCTCCAGCCAATTCATCAAAAAATCTGAACTGATGAAGCGAGATGGACAATATATTTCAACTAAATGTAATGCACTATCACGTTTAGGCTTATTTAGTGCTTACATGTGTGATCGATATAGAACGTAGGATCTTCTATTTTAATACTGCGTTGGTGGGGTCTTGAATTCAAAAGACCTCTTGGCTTGTATACCATATTGATTCATGCTTCAGCCAACTTATTCAAAAGTTTGAACTAATGAAGAGAAATGGGCAATATATTTCAACTAAATGTAATGTACTATCATCCGTTGATGGAAAGGATATGAACAATGAAAGAGAAGAGAGATGACTATGTGATAGCAAGGTCGGAGGTGAGGTCCAAGGTTTGTCAGAAAATAGGAGGCAGCTAGGGAGAATTAACATTTTTTTTATTTTTTTTGCGGGAGAATGCACATGATGTCACGTCTTGTTGCGATGGTGAATATGGAGGAAATGGAAAGGAACGAGATATGAAATGTTACCTTATGTCTTCCAACAATCTTGGTATATATCTAAAAGTATATATTACCTGTATATGTAAAAAAGTTGAGGGACAACATTTTCGTGGAGAAGATAAAAGATGACCACAACTTATGCTCTTGGACTCATCTATATTTTTCTTGTGCCCGTAGCAACGCACGGGCATTCTACTAGTTCCTATGATTTTATACTACAACGGAAGCAAACAAGCAGCTCCTGAGCTAGCAACGGGCGACAAATCCGAGGAGCTCCGGCAAGGGGCGGCATGGGCCGCATTCGTATATAAGCAAGCATCCATCAGAAGGTCAGAACCACATCCATCTCCGAGATTCAAGCACTCCTTCCTTTCACTGACCGTCCGATCGATCCTTTCGCTGAAATGGCCGGCGCGGACCCCACGAGGACGTCGTGGCCGGAGGTGGTGGGCATCCCGGCGACGCCGGCGGTGATGAAGATCAACCACGACAGGTCCGACGTGGCCATCGAGGTCCTCCCGGACGGCGTCAAGGTGCCCAAGGGTTTCAACGCCAAGCGCGTGCGCGTCTTCTTCGACGCCAAGGAGTCCCAGGGCCTCGTCATCAGGACCCCCGTCGTCGGCTAGCCGGCCGGCCGGCGCGCGGCCGCGCTTGGTGCTGCCGATCTGAATAATGTTGCTACCCTTCAGTTGTGTTCCCTAGTGCATGCTTGATGCAGAAGTACCGTCTTCCATGCTTTGTTGACCAGCTTAACTGGCTTGCCTATGTTTGTCTCGATTGTGTTTGGACGCGAATCAGCGATAAACCTTTACTTCCGTAACTACTCCACAGACTACAGTAAATGACGTGAGTTGAAAGTTGAAATTCGAAATGTAGTTGAAAGAATGCAGTGTAGATACGCTATTTTTTTTTTTAAAGGAGGATGACCCCCGGCCTCTGCATCTAGACGACGCATATAGCCGTTTTATTAATTATTCATCAAGACCTTACAAAATAATACATCAATAAGTTTGAAGCCATCATCTTGATAACATCTATCGCTACTCTTATTTACTTGATGAATGAGTGCAGATTGTCTCAGCCGTATACCCAAACCTCACATCAAAGACTAACATTTAAAGTCGGAGGCCCCAACCAAGTCACAATGCCAGGTCTGAGGCACACACCGATCCGGCACACTCTTAACGGGCACCACATGCATCCGCTGCAGAGACCGTCACCATCGTCTTCTACCGATCAATCTTCAGAGCAGGTACTAACACATCAACCTTACCAGGCCTGCCGTCAACGCCACCATGACGTCAAACAGCGCCCCCGCCCTGTGCGAGTCCATCACCTCACCTCCGTCACCGAGACCCGGCTACGCAATGCTGCAGAGACTCACTGTCGTCGATGCGGTAGATGTACACCGCTCCACTCCTTGCGTCCTTCATCCAGCAGCTGCTCCAAAACAATGCCCTTATGAGGGAGAGCGACACTGAGAGCGCCGCCATCGTCCAATTCGGGATACCCAGATCTGAGGTTTCCCTCGGAACAGCGCGAGTGGATAGAAGATGGCTGCAATGGCGATGCCTTCAACAAAGTAACGCGCGTAGATGCTGCCGTCTCTTGCCATGACCGTAGTCAGAGCTCCATTTTCACCGGCAGCCACGCCTCCTCAACTTGCCGCCGGGACTAGCCGTGGGATCTAGAGATCTACCACAACCAGCCGGCCGACCACCTCCGATGGAGGAGGAGGCCACCACCGCCACACCTGGGGGCGGAGCCTCCGACTTACTCATGTTGCGGGACTACCCCGGAAACACGCAAGTTGACGTTGAGATGTAGCCGGTACAACGGTTTGGGTGGCTGCCCGTCTGAACCCATCAGGACCTAGATCAGGCGCGTCCACCGCCACCACCACCCGCTGACCTTGACCGTCCGCCGTCAAGGGTCGCATATCCTGGCCGTTGCCTCCCCGCAACACTAACGGTGCGGAACACCGCCGTCTCGATCTGATCTATGGCCGAGTAGATCCGCTGCCGCTGCCATGCCACGCGGCACTGGCGGAGCCACGACAAGACCAAATGGGCCGTGGCCCGCCCAGCTTTCTGGAGTTTCTACTTATGGGCCTTGGAACATCAGCCCATAAGATGTTTCCCTCTGTTTGGCCAGGCCAGCCCGCCCAACAAGGAGCTTGAAGCTCCGTCATTGCATGCGAGCTTTGCCCGGCAACACCCTCAGCAACGCCGGTGAGAGGGAGGAGCTTGGAGCGGAGGAGGCCTTGAGCCAGCCGGCGGGGGCTGCCCCGGTGCAGCCGCACAGGAGGAGGAGTAATAATATACAGTTGAAAAAGCGGTGTGGTCGGAAAAAAAACATAGTTACAAAATTATTGTTGAAAATAGCATCATGAAACGCTTGATACAGTTGAAGCGCGTGAAAAATACAGCTAAAACACACGATGTAGAGTTAAAGAAGATGCACTAGAAACTACTCCCTCCGTTCCTAAATACTTATCTTTCTAAGCATTTCAACAAGTGACTACTTCCTCCGTTCCAAATTACTTGTCGCAGGTATGGATGCATCTAGATGTATTTTAGTTCTAGATAAATTCATTTCTGTGACGAGTAATTTAGAATGAAGGGAGTACATACGGAGCAAAATGAGTGAATCTACATTCTAAAATATGTCTACATACATCCGTATGTAGTAGTCTTTTGAAATGTCTAAAAAGATAAATATTTAGGAACGGAGGGAGTACATTGTTGTCAACTGCGCGATACTTTCTTCCACATTACTACTTTATATGACAACGAAACGGAAAACCTATCGGGCTCGGGCAAGTGTTCGCTCTCTCGTGGGAGAAAACCCCATTAAGGCCCCTCTTTATAGAAAGCAAAGGTACTGAAACAAGCATCCACCAAGTTCAGCGCAGGCAGGCGCAGATCACACTCAACGCGCACATGACGAAGGGAGTACAACTTCAGCCAAGGCAACCAGCACACGCAGATGCAGATCACAACAGAGCGCACAGAGCACATGACACGCCGTGCTCTAGCTGTGCCCTACATGAAAATCTACCAACTAATGGCATGACGTGCAAAGTCAGAAACTTCTGCACCATACACAGATCACTCAAACTTCCTTGTACAATGCCACAAAGGCACTTCTGGTTGAGTCGCTCTTTCAAGCTCAGCATCAGAAATGGCGAATGATCTCAAATGTTATAACAAGATGAGATGCAACAATAAGTCCATCCATAACCTCCCCCATCGCGACCAACGATGAGCGACAATACTTGGTCCAAATTCTCAGTTCAAACCATACACTGCTGACGGTGACACACAATTATCCAGTGATCCAGTACAGATAAACGCAACTCGCAAAACGCAAAGCATGTACAGGGATGATAAAAGCTCCAGTACAAACTGCAAAACTAAACTAGCCATCAGTCGTCAATCTCCGTGGCATCGACCGTGGGATCATCAGTTGTTAATCTTCCCCACGCTCTACCTGCCTTGAGAAACATTCACGGGCAGCGGGTTTGTGCCGACATAGCTAAGCTCGACCTTTTGAGGCAGAAGCTGGTAGCTGATGGACATCTCCTCGAATATCTTCTTCAGCTCCATCACAAGCTCGGACCTCCTGATGCTCTTCTCCCGGATATTCTGGAAGTTCATCGTGTGCTGGGCGCACAGGGCCATGTTGATCTTGTTCACGTCCAAGATGTCCTTCAGGTTTACCGTGTGGATAGGGTGCCACCGTGTAGGTTTGCTCTCCAAGTACCTGAAACCCCAGAGAACCATGACAATTGATCACATGGAAGAAATAAAAAATGAAGCCAAGTTTGAATGATTCGTCCACTATTCACATGATATGCAGACCTGTTTATTCACATATGAACAAGTACACATGTCTCGATTAAGTTAAGTCAGATAAGTTATATATGGATTGGCGATAGAGAACTATGTCTAGAATAAGACGCGGTAAATTAAACACAGAATAAGCTTAAGAATAATACCCTTTAATTCTGGATTTCAAAGCTGCGATGCTCTCCATTGAAGTTTTAACATCAATAGCGAAGTCGATGGTGTCGTACATGTCAGGGCTTCGGTAGAAGTTGCTGATTGGCATTGTGGACAATGCAGAGTTTGGATAATATACCTTCTCATTGTCATTCTTCAGGAAAACAGTGGTTAATATATTCATTTCTTCGACAACCATCTATTATCAATATAGACACATGTCAGCATCAGAATTCAACATCAGAAGATCAGTGAAAAGGGGAACTGAAAAAAGGGTAGCATAGAAGTAACCTGTATTCCATCGATGACACAGCGGTCCCCAACATCAAACGGATGCATGATGAAAACAAATATGAGGGCCTCAAATACAGTCTTGCAGGCATTTCCAAATATGAAGACCACAACAAGAAGCTGGGATGAGATGACAACAAGGATCTTGGTCGTGGCGATGCCCATCAACAACAGAGTGATAATGATGATTATAATGAGTACTAGAATTCTGATGAGGCTGTGAAGTTGGCTGACTGCGGTTTTTGTGTCATTCAGAGAATGCGCTAGTGACTTGCGGTCCAGGTATGCACTTACCTGCAGTAAATAATGATCAAGCAAGGAAACAAAAAATATTCATATACATACAGAACTTTATCAACGTCGAAGCATCAAAATGTGGCATATACAGCAGCTTTTGCAGTTTTGCAGGAGTATGTATTCTTTCCTTTCTCAAGAAGTTAAATGATTTATACCAGGGGAAAAATAAGACTTGTTTAGAGACTAAAGAATCTATACATGATTATGACTGCTGCAACTGTAGTCAAACTGAAACACAAAACGGGAAACACTTGAATCAATCTACATCATAGGATAATTGCCCCTTATAACTTCTGAAATATTTTTTAAATGGAAATTGTGGCTGAGTTTAAAATTTCCATTACCACCCAATTTTTCAGAGCAGATCTTTTTATCTTCCCCGTCTCTGATGCCCCTTCAAACATCGGAAGCACCAAGGCTGCCTCCTCCCTGTTGAAAAATCTCAGCAAATCCAGCTCCTCAATGTGCCTGCACAAATGAACTATGGTCAATGGCACATATGGAAATATGTTTTCAGAGAAGAACAGGCAACAATCGTGATCCTCACTTGTAGCCCTGCCTTGCAACATTTTTGAAAATGGCATCGGCTGCTGCCTTTGCCTCCCACTCGCTATTTATCTCCTTATCTTTTTGCTCCGTTTCATCAAACTCATGAAAGCTCTCAATACTTTGAGATATTGTTGAAAGCCTTGAGCTTCGGATTGCCGTGATGAGCCCTTTCATCGTCCAAGCTGAGATCCTCTCCTGCTTCATCTTCCTCAGTTTCACGGCATCGATCACCTTGGGCGTTCCTTTATCATCCTTCGTCCTGCTCAAGCTCACACGCCCACTTGGCTCCCGCCCAACATTCTCCGCTAGCTCCATCAATGGAGGGCCCGAGAGCGTCTGCAGCACGTACTGGTGGAACAGGCTCTCCTGGATCCGGTCAAAGAAGGCCTTCCGGTGGAAGGTGGACGCGATGGCCTTCATGATGAATGTCTTGACCACCCAGATGACTGACGCGATGAGCACGGAGGCGAGGAATCTGGAGACGTAGTTGAGGATCCTGGCGGTCTTGGCCGTGCGGCCCAGCTGCTCCTGGTCGAAGAGCTGAGACCAGGCGATGAGCACGAGACCGATCCAGAGGCAGGCCTGCACGCTGTTCTTGAGCCCGAAGACGAAGTAGAGCACCTTGTTGCGGAGCAGGAAGTTGCGCTCGATGAGGAAGACGACGAAGGCGATGACCCAGTGGCTGACGAGGTGGCCGGAGAAGACGGTGATGACCATGACGCACCACTTCCAGATCTCCAGCCCCCACACGAAGTGGCCCTTGAGCGGGCGCGCCACGAGGCTGACGACAAGCAGCGCGAGGAAGAGGACGAGCACGGCGAGCTCGAGCGAGATGCAGGCCCTGCGGCGGCACTTGGCCGCCGTGGCGGCGGTGGGCGCGCCGTCCTTGCGGAAGACGTCGTCGTCGTCGTCGCCCTCGCCCGGGGTCTGCGGGGTGGAGGCGGGGCGCGGGGTCTGGGCGGTGGAGGCCGGGTGCGCCGGGGACGGGTGGGAGGAGGGGGCGGTAGGGGTCGGCGGCTCCACGAAGCGGGATTTGGGCTTGGAGAGCGAGGAGCGGCGGCGGAGCAGCGCGCCCTGGGCGGGGGCCAGGGGCGGCCGCGCGGGGCTCTGCGGCGGCTTCTCGGGGTTCGGCAGATGCGGGCGCGGCGGGGCCGCCGCCGAGGTCGGCGTCGGCGTCGGCGGCTTCTCGGGGTTTGGCGGGGTTTTGGGCGCGTCGGCCGCCGTGGCCCGCTGCTGCTGCGGCTGCTCGGGCGGCATGATGAGGACGACGTCGCCATTGGCGCCGGCCGGGGGCTTCGGATTGGCGTTGGCGTTGGACGGATCCATGGGTGCGCCGCCGCCGCCGCTTGCGCGCGCGCGGCGGTGGGCGCAGCTGGGGTGCTGGTGGGCTGGGGCTTGGGGTGTAGGCTGGAAGTGGAAGGAAGCTGTGGTGCGGCGGCGGCGGCGGCGGAGGAGGAGGAGGGGAGGAGGAGGTCAGGGAATGGGAGGAGTGTTGCGGCGGTGCGAGTGCGAGGGCGAGTGGCTTTTGCTGCTGGGGTGGCGGAGTGTGGGAACGGAACGGAAGAGACCGAGGGGCGACGGGCGGTGGCCGTTTCGTTCTCGAAATTCGGGCTTAAAGACGGGGGGTGGGGAACGAAGCCGGTGCGCGGCGCACCTCGCGGGCCCGGGTTTCACTCGTCCGTCCAGTCGTCGTGCCGTCCACACCCCTTTGCCCTAGGAGCGTGTCTCTCTCTTTTCCGAGAGACAAACTTTGCCTAAGTCTCACTTCTCATGATTACGTAGATCGGTAAATCTCAGTTGACCGAGACTTAAAGTTAAGTCGATATCATAGCCGTAAGATCTTAGTACATGAACTTGAATACTCGTGCAAAATTCTCTTTTAAAAATTGTCTTCTTTTAAAAATTGTCTTCTTCCTTTTCTATGTGATATGTCACTTGCAGTGGCGGAGACAAGGGGGGGCGAGCAGGGGCCTGG